TGACGATCGATTCAACCCCTGAAACCTTTAGATAGTGGAACACCTCAATGAGAATATAGGGAACCGCTTAGTAGGCTCAGTTGGTTGAGATACTGCGATTCCCGGTGTTTCCACTGAATGACATCTACTTCCTAATTAGGCTAGTTGGCCCTGTAGTTGATAGAATAGCTCCCTACGCCCCATTTCCCCTGAGTTCACAACATATACTAAGTTCGCTCATCCAATTCAATGGCTTAGTTCACTCTATTCAATGCCAATTCCTCTGACCTACTGAATTTCACAACAGGAACTACAATCATGTATCTAGAATAGTCACCTGCATATCGCCCAAGGCGAGGGGTCAGCGTATGAATACTACTACTACTACTACTACTACTACTACTACTACTACTACTACTACTACTACTATATGATCCGAGCATCACGCTACCGTGTTACGCTCAAACAGCGAAGGAAACATTACCTGGATCAGGCGTTCCTGCAGAGACATACCAAATAAATATACGACCATCTACATATAAAGCTCTTCTATTTACTAGATCGAGCTTCGATTCATAATAATTCTCATTTGAAAGGTAGACGAGGTCTCACATTCATTCTTCTTTTGTGCCGGTGGGGAAATCCGTACTGCCTCGGATTTGGCAGAAGGCTAATCAGATACCAGTCCGCGACTGGTATATGTATTCAGTAATAATAGTAGTGGTGATATAATCACCCAGCTGTCCAATTCAAACGTTTAATTACTGGTAGCTCATGATAGAGGGAACCATTCGTTGAAACGGCCATGTGGGTCCATCTGAGCCTTGAGCTTTCTCAGCCGTTGGACATTGTCGCCGTACACCACGGACAAGTCTTCGTCTCCATATGCACCATTTATATAACTGGGTGAGATTAGCATTCTCTTTGCCCAAAAGTATTGTGCGATAACTCACGTGCAATTTTTAGTCAAGCCTGATGTTGATCTTAGCAAGTCGCGAGACTTCAACCCCCATTCCCTGGCTACTGCATCGAGGCTCGAGTCCACAATTGACGGTTGTACCCAGGTATTGAATTTAATCGTGCTGCGGAAAGGATAGGCGGAATCGACAACGTCTGTCGATTCCCGGATGGGATTACCGTTCATAATGACTGCGCTCTTTACCGCGCCCGTTTGCCGGACAAATGTCTTGTATTCCTGGAACAGTTCGCGCCAGGTGGCAGGCACCATTCGTGCAAGGCCAGCACCATACCGCTGCTTGCGTTGGCCTTTCGCGCAGCCCCCATCTTGAGGATCATTCCAATGATCATAGGATAGCACCCCGGCATCATCCGTCTCAGGCCCAGCCGCATAAATGGTTGAAAAGGCTTCTCTGCCTGCGCTATCCGTACCGTAATAGAAAAGGTTCGCCATAATAGAGAAAGAAATATTGTTGCCAGACTCCGATGCTGCAAAAATCAAGTTGATGGCCATCTCTGGATGGAGAATGAGAGTATTCATTGCCTGGACGAGATCCTCAATTTTCTTCTCAGAAAATGTCAGAGTAGCCAACCAAGCACTCAAACCAGACTTGTTAACAGGGTAAGCTCGCATCGTAGCAGAGGTGACAATCCCAAAGTTGGGACCGGCACCCCGAATCGCAAACCAGAGTTCGGAATCGCTCTCGCGGCTGACCTCCAAGCGGTCTCCGGCCGGTGTAACGATATTTACGGAAAGCAAATTATCAATAATAAGGCCGTAAGCTCCTACCAAATTTCCGTAGCCGGCACCTAATCCTGCGCCAAGCTGCCCAATGCAGTTACAAGTTGGCGTGGGAACAGTGGTATTCCTTGCGAACGCAGCGGCCACCACATCACTGACCAATGCACCTGCTTCCAACCAGAGTTCTGTTCCCGCAGCGTTCACGCGAACATGATTCAGTTGTTCCAAATTGATGATAACTCCGCTCTTGTCTAAAGTGAAGGTAATTGAGGATCCATGGCCTCCATTTTGTGCAAGGAAGGGGATGTTTTGCTCAATGCAATATCGAACCTGGCGAAAACAGGGAAAATTAACAACTGTCCCACAGAGCAGAGTATGTAAATCGCATAAGATAACGCACTGTCACAAGCACATCATCCTCCGTGGCGGCATTTACCACAGCTCCCGCGTCGGGTGCCGGAAATTCACTCCATCGTGGAGCTCCAAGCCTGTCATAGGCGACGGACGCATCTTGTGATAATAACCCACGTAATCCCGAGAGATCCGGGCCATAACACAGGACGTTACTGATAGTGAAGAAGTATAAAAGGAGTACAGCCCAAGCGCTCATCTTGGTGGGCGAAGATAGTCTGGCTGGGTGGGTTTCAGATGGTGTCCTTCAGGTGGTGCGCAGAACGTGTGTTAGGTTACAGTGTCCCCAGAGGTGAAGTCCCCGTCAAGTAGAGTATATAATAGAAATTCAACGCTCTCAGGCAAAATCCGTAAATTATCTGAGTTATGTTGGCAGTAGCATACAGTACTGTATTACACTTTGCGCCAAATGGCTCTGCCAAGCACTGTATGCCCTGAAACGACCGAAGGGAGAGAAAGGGTTTAACGTCGTCTGTGAGATTTTGCCAAGAGATGCCAAGATATATCATCTCTTTGAGCGTGTACTAATTACGCGAATGTAAAACTCTCACCAAAATCTCGCCAAACCTTCTCGCCACGCTCTCCACACCCTCCTCTAGAACCCGACTATTTTCACACCCACTAGTCCTGTTTAGGATAGCTCCAACGCTAACCTGACCACTCAGCCGTCCGCCTGTCTGAGGGCCTGATTTGGGGGCGAGTACGCCTTTTCTTATTTAAGCACTGACACTAAATATCAGCCTCCAATATGCCCCACCCAGTGGCCAATATTCAAGGTGGGAACGGTAAAAATACTAGTGACTGATCAGCTGCTTCCCCGGTTCGATTGAATCCCTAATTATGGAGTAATTGAGGCTGGTTCCGTTCGGCAATAGAGCGCTTCGGAAACATTTAGCTAATCCCTGTATTATTAACTAGTTATTACTAGTAGTCTCGTGCAGGGTGGGCAACGATAAGTTCCCGCACCGATTAATCGATCGATTATTTATCGATAATTGGCAGATTCTCACCGCCTATACTACCTACACCGCTATAAACAGTTTTCTTGGTTTCTTTATCTTTTTCATATTCTTTTATATTATCATACGAAAATGGATTCTGATGCAGATTTATCTAATCTTTTACTTTTGCCCACGGTAGATTCATGTGAAACGCAGTTAAAAAGGGGGGAAACAGCCACAGCGCAGCTAACATGGTCTCATATTGTACACGTCCAGCACAAGATGGGGAGGCCTAGACCTCGAAATGGGGCGGATCCGGATCCAACTTTTGGATCCTGATTTACATAAATTTGCCAAGACTTTCCTTTTTTGGCTGCATAAAATGATGATTCATCTAAATAAATTACTGTTATGCAATATCGCTCATCACACGGCCGGTGAGGTTGGGGACTGGACGAGGTAGTAGGACACTATGAGCCGTAGGGACAGTCGAATATGGGAAGGGGCCCCAGGGGCCGCCCTGATGGCGGCCCTGGGGAGGACTGAGGGAATTCTATTGAGTCTTCTGAAGGAGTGTATTGCCTAAGCTATCTGCTTGAAGTGCTCTCCCTGTGGTCTGCTACATTCAGTAGCAGACCGCTATTTAACCTAGTATCTACCAAGGTGTTCCAGTGCACTGCCGTGGGATCCCATATCATACGATGTGGGATCGTATGATGTGGGATCATGTCTTCGGAATGTCTACGTGTTGTGGCCATATTCGTCAGGCACTATACGTCTTAGTCATCCGGGATGACAGTTAACTATATACACCTGTTCTGGTCAGTACATTCACACCTCTTAAGATGTAGCCATTTCTTAATTGAAATTTTCTGTTTTGAACCTGTATATAAATTATTTTACCTTATCGAATATAAATAATGCTAGTCTTATTATTATTTTAGCCCTTGGTTGTTAGTGACTCATTAAGGTAAAGTTTAGGTGTTGTAATAGGGTGGGAATATATATTCTCACAGTATATCACAGGCCTGATCTTGCTATGGTATGGTCAGCTCGATGACCATTCAGTCATCGATTTGCTCTGAGGGACCCTAAAGTATTCATTCGGGAGATTGCCGCCCAGGCGGTCAGTGAATGCTTCAAGATAATTGCCGCTAGAGATATGCAAACGCCGAAACTGTGGTTTGCAAGGATACATAAAGAGGCACTTCTGGACTTGGAATCCAATAACGGTGACTGGATACCTGGATTGCTGCTCGTCCTAAAAGAGTTTCTTCTAAAAAATGCAAAGTTCATGAGTGAGCACTATAGGAATGCCTGTGAGATTATTCTTCGCCTGAAGGACCACCGTGACCCCAAAATCCGCACCCAGGTCGTCTTGACAATTCCTATCCTCGCCTCCCACGCTCCCGTAGACTTTGCAGAGACCTATATTCAACGATTTATGATTTATCTGCAAGCACAGCTGAAAAGGGAGAAAGAACGAGGTTCAGCCTTCGCCTCCTCGGTCTCGTTACCCAAACAGAAATGACAGAGGGAATGGGGCCAAAATCTTCAAGAAAGACCAACCAGAGAACCTTTGGAAGGATTCGAATCTAAAGAATACAAATTTGTATTATCATGAAAACATTCTAAGCCTTAAAAGTCTGTATTAGCAAGATATTAGGAATGTTCAGCCTAGCACCACCTTTCTATTGTGATTGGACTAAGATATAAGTTGGATTGTGTGTGTGTATTAGGCGCAAGCTAAATAAAACTTAGAAATATTACTATACTGCGTACAGTAACATAAATCTCCTTACGTATCCTTTTAAAAGCAACTAAAAATAGCTTTTGTGTAAAACCAAGAACATGGAATAAGCACAATGTCCTCAAGCTGTGGGGGCATGAGTCTCAATCCCTTCATATTTCTCGGACTCTGGCAATTTCTCCCACGGCGCAAACACATTCTTGGTCGGTTCCAGATAAACTTAAGCTCTGGGAAGTGCCGCCCCAGCACATCTTTCATTCCAGTATTCTGCACCCAGGGGAAGCACTCTGGGTGTATATGTCCGCGTTCCGTTGCTGTTCAGTGCGGAAAGCTGTGTCAGAGTAAAAGGATTGTGACCTGGTTTGTTATTGTCTGGAAATTCTGAGGTGTAGGTAACCATGAGGTCATGCACTTCCGCCGTGAGAACACCCGCAATGGGGTGGCGGAACTCCAGTGGTACGTAGCCAGGGCGGCCTTGGTCGTATCGCTGTTGCATGAGCTGCTGCACGTCGACTGGGGATGTCACGAGCACATTATGGGCAACGATTCGGGCCGCCTCCTGCACGGCAACTGGTGTCATGGCTATGTATTTGGGAGGGTAGAACTCATGCGTCGGCGTGGATGAACAAGGGTAGAAGGGTTGCTGGGCGAGGAGATATTGGTCACTCGCCACGGAAGTACTAATAGGGTTCTGGTATGTACGAATGTACAGATTCTAGGTCTTCTGAAGGTGGCCGAGTCGTGCCGGGTGGGTGCGAGCGGTGTCGATGTTTGGATAGGGTGGTTTTGCGGGAAAGCTGCGTCACAACACTAGCAACACCAGGTCTCCGTATACACATTCCAATCTCACCTTTTTCCGCATGTAGGTTCCTGAGCCACAAAAAGACCAGAATATCAAGTACAGCGTACTTGATATGCCCATCGCCTTATATAGAAAACCCCCGAAGGGTGCCAAGCCGTCACAGGGTTCTGGTACGAATGCTCGGATATTGCATCTTCTAAAGTTGGTCGGGTCGTCGTGCTGAGTGGGTGCGAGCGGTGATGTTTGGCCAAGGCGGATTTACTACAAAAGCTGCGTGACGGCATTAGCAATACCAGGTCTCCACATCCACACTCCAATGTCACCTTCGTTTGCATGTAGGTTCCTGGCAGATATAAGGCTGCTTCCCGGTGTGAATCCTTCGGTGGCGCGCTAGACTCGATGGCTGGAGGGAGCTGTTAGCAATTAAATAGAGGTTAGGCACTATAACAAAGAGAGTCACATACATCGGAGAATGCCTTGCGACATCCTTCGTAGTCACAGACATGAGGCTTTTCCCCGGTGTGGGTTCGGGAATGGACAGTCAATGCGCTCCGATGAATAAAGCTCTTGTTACAGTCCTTGACCTTGCAATGATAGGGTCTTTCTTTGGTGTGTATTCGATAGTGCCTGCAGAGGTCGATTTGCGGTTGAAAGACTATTAAGATACTATTAGATGGCCACTTTCGAAGGAAGTAAGACGTAAAGTACCTTGCCACAATATCCCATGAACAATTAAAATCGCGTCCATTGCCAGGTGCCATGGCCGCGGGAGAGGCGTGTGGATATGTCGGGGGAAAAGTGGGACTACAGAATGAGGAGAGAAGAAACCGATGAAGGTATCGGGAATAATAGGACAGTTGAGGGGAGACTTAAGATAAAGTAAAAGTGAAGTAAGATGGCATGGAATATTAAGGCAACAAGAGATATGGAGAGCGGACTAATAATAATAAGGCGACGAACGTTCGGGTGGACCCCAGTCATGGGTATGAGGGTTATTCTGGTGGAGGCCACTTATCTTTGTATAAACATTGGATGGTTGTCCACTAGGGTAGGATAAGTATGAAAACGTCCACTTTTCAGGGGTAATTAAGCGTAGGTATGGACAGGTAGGAATGGATCCACGTACTGTCCTACTGTAGGCTAAGGGCAGGGGTTGTAACGCCACCATTGAACTAAGTCCGTATAGTAGGCATGATAATTGGGCTCCGGACTAATAACGACTCTACGGATAAGAAAGTATCGACGGACTATAGTAAGCGGACTAGCATATTCGAGAAAAGAGATTAAACGAGATGTTGTTGTATGCCAAGTAAGAACTATCCGCGGGCCGATGGCGGGACCACCCGAGAGGGATGCTGGGCCGAATCAACAAATACTCATAGAATCCGTCGTGTTCCAAAATTCTTGCACTCGTGTTGGGTTCCTCTCCCTTCTTCGATTTTGTGCCGTTCCACCACCAAACTTCGTGCCGCAAGTTGCAAACAAATGTTACGGAAACACCATAATCCGCCCGACTTGGCGGTGCGGAGTATTGACGATCCATTCTACCCTGAATCCTTAGATAGTCGAGCACCTTGAGTCGAGCACCGAAGACCTCTAGACAGGAATGCAAGAGACTCAGTTGGTTGAGATACTGTGATTCCTGGTGTTCCACAGACAACATCTGCTTCCTAATTAGGCAAAGGGTTGGCCTGAAGCTGATCTCTAGCTCCCTGCGTATTCTTCCCCTGAACTCCACAACATGCATTAAGTGTGGTGGCTAGTAATACTTACTGATGTCAACGCTAGCTGAAACTTAAGGAGGTCGATCATTCTTGGGACAATTTAGTTTTGTAGAATTAATTCTGCGAACCTCTTTGGTTCCGCAAGCGCCAAGCCTTCCTAGGTCCAGGGACAGTGTACAGATGAAGTGACTTCACACTTTAGATATATATAAATAATACGTGCATTAAGTGAAAATTGTCAGGGACGGGATGGCTACAAACCAGGTAAACCTGCTATTTGTGAGGTGCATGAAGTACATATGTATATTCGAAGGGATACCCGCCCCCAAGTCATTTTGCTTGTTGACACCCCTGCATTCCAATGGCTTGATATGTCCAGTGGTGGACGATAGAAACGGGTGAACCGTACGTAGGAAACCAAATAAAATATAAGAACATAAAAGTGCTTTTTCTCACCAGCCAACAGATGAAATAACAACCTTTGAATATCTCGTGGGAAAAAAAAAGAAAAAGAAAAGAAAAATAAAGGAATTTGTGGCAGCGTCTTCACTTGTTTATACTTCTTCAGAGAGGCTAAGGGTCGCGGTGGTTAACTACGCAGTTGGTAACTATGCCGTTGGGATCACCATTCAAATCGCCACTGAAAACGAAGTCCAAGCCTAATAGCTATCTCCCCGATATTCGTAGGTCTACGGCCTTAGTGTGTTACAAAGCTTTCATATTTTTTTTTTCTCTATTTGTCATATTCTCTCCCGTTTCTATTGCATCTCCTACATCTGGTATCCAGACAGTTTCTGACGTTTACTCAGGCGGCTATTGTCTGTGCAGGTACATTCCCGGAGAACGCGAACCAACTATCTGCAGATACTATGCATTTGCCAGTCGAGCAAGTAGAATCGAGCTGGAAGAAGTTCCAAACCCCCCCGTGTCAAAGAATGATTGGAAACCAAAGGATCCAAATATCTCTCACCTCATATATCCCGAAGAGACGTCTCCATGTACTCGCTTGGCTCCGAAGAACAGCAGTTCCCAAAGTCCAAGACTAGCATCGAAAGGCAAGAGAAAGCTTCGATTTCCAGCGATAACCCTACACAAGAAAAATAGCTCGTCATCAAGAATGCTACTGCGAAAGCGGTCTCAGCGAGCTAGAAGAAAACTCTTGATGACTACTAATTGGCGGGGTCGTTCTGCGCGGAAGGTTGGGTTCTTGCGAGCGAAGAAGACGCTGAAAGGTAGATGATGTGCTCGCACTCGTTGTCTGCGTTTTTATTAGGACAATTATTTTATAAGTTTCCCTTGCTACTCGCGGACATAATTTTACATTAATAATAAACTTGTAAACTGGTTATTAGTGTCCAGCCTGTGTCAATCTTTTCATGATACAAACGATAAATCATTCCTAGATCATGTCCTATTGCTGTGCGGGTTGTGACATACAGTACGAAATGTATGCCACAATCATGAAGCCTCTCCTCCCAGCACCAATCCAATATACAGAAGGAATGAGATGGCCCAGAAAAAGAATTAAATTATACCATTTGTTAATCAGGTGATATCGACAAAGGAAATCCTTCGAATGCTTTGCCAAGAGAATAAGAAAAGTCCAACGGTCTGACATATAACCTACGGCAAACTGTATATTGCCACTTTTTAAAAGAAGTCCAATTCAAGCACTTATAACACTCCTTCCAGATGAAGGCCCCTGGATAATGCAATATGACACCGAAAACGGCCGGATAACTGCAGGTGACTATTCTAGATACATGATTGTAGTTCCATTATGATGTTCCAAACTTCCTGAGGGCGAACTTTGAGCCTCGCCTGATAGGCCTGTGATTGTTTCCACTTTAACCTGCGAAAAGGCGGTGGGTGGTCAGGTGGTCCGCCACGGCTACTCCGTTACCCCGTGTTATGGTGTCTCTCCATTGAGCCGCTGAGGTGGTAAATGTGGTGCCGGCGACGGGAATCGAACCCATAACCTCCGAAAAGCAAGGGAGACCAATCCTGCTCTTCAAAGGCTGCTCGGTGCGCTTACCACTACGCTACCGCTACCGGCAAAGACTACAGTATCAGAAATAGAGACACCCTTTTGATAAAAAAAACCATCGCCAGCTACGGTCTCCATCTAAACGCCGGGTGCCACCAATCCAAATCTTCTATCTCTTTCTGACCCAATCCCTCTAGTTCACTGCGTACGTCACGATGCTGCCTTCGTCGATTATCCCAAGTCATATATATCAACAGTGCAATAGCGACAAGCAATGTCGCCGATGCTGCTGCCAAATTCAACCCGTTCCCGATATGATATAACGGAGCATCCGTCGCCAAATACGACCACGTCGAAATTAACCCACCGATATTCCCAATCAACCCGGTGGTCCCGATAGCGGACGACCTCGCCGTATCAGAGACTACATTCGCCGACGCAATCGCATTACAGAGAGCCCCGAACGTGAACGATCCACTGGCAATTAAGAATGTAGCCCCATACTGCGTCTTCTTGTCCGTCGTCGCAAGAAACATAATATACCCGATCATCATCAGCGGAGCGCACACCAATGCAATTACCAGTCGACGATCGAGTCTCCACGAGAGGAACGGGAACAGGAGCGTGAAGAGCGCACCCACCACGTATGGCGGCACTGTGTGCAGTTGCTGCGAGATGACGCTGGAATCTGGATAGATGTTTTTAACAATCGTGGGGGCGAAGAACCCTAGACCTTGCACGGTGATTTGGTTCAGACAGAACATGAGCGCCGTGCCAAGCGTAGCTGGGTTAAGGATTCCGCGTAGTGTTTTTGTAGTGTCGAGACGATCAAGCATCTCGGTGGTGGCCACGCGTTCGGATTTTACGCGCGCAACGGCAAGGGCCTTTTCCTCCGCGGTTAGCCAGCGGGCAGACTCGGGGCGATCGGTGAGAGTGAAGAAAGAGACTATGGCCAGTCCGATTGTGATTATGCCTTCGATGGCAAAGATCATACGCCAGTGACGCAGACTGCCGAAATGGTCCAGTTTAAGGATCGCAGACGCGAGCAGTCCCCCAAATGCACCGGCTAGTGGTGTCATAACGATGTAGCATGAGAGACGGAAGATGAGCTCGCTTCGTCGATACCATCGTGACAGATAGTATGCAATCCCCGGGAGCATCCCTGCCTCGAAGAGGCCAAGGAGGAATCGCACGCCCGAGGCGCCGTGGATGGTGCTCACAAAGGCTGTGCCGAGCGAGCAGATCCCGAATCCCAGCGTGGTGGAGGGTATGAACCAGCCTGGACCGATCCATTTGCAGCAGACCGTGCAAGGGATTTCCAAAAGAATGTAGGGAATAAAAAATATGGAGAGGACGCTGTTGAAGTCATTGCCGGTTAGATGGAGATCAGCTTCGAACCCCGCGAGTTTGGCGTTTCCTGCAATCATTAATTAGTGTAGGTAAATGCGGTGTGACTGAGGTCAATGTTACCGATATTGGCACGGTCGATGAAGCAGAATAGGTACAGGAGAGCCACAGTGGGAACGATGAACAAGTCTATTTTCATTCGCAGTCGAGACTCCGCCTTGGGGTCGATTTGGACCAGAGGATGGCCGTATCTGATGGGAGTTAGTGAACTTCAGTCAGTGTGGAGATTACAGTACATCACATACTCGTCTGTCGCGACCTGACCATGTCCGGCGGCATTATCGGGGGTGCGCAAATGGTTTCGTTGATGGGTTAGGCCCTTCGACACTGGCTGCTGATTCCCGGACATGCTTCTATTCCTTGAGCAGTATTCTTCGGCATACAAAGGGGAAATACTGTCTCAAATATCCCAATAGGCTGATTGCCAAATAACGGAAAATGCCTCGTTGGCTAGAAAATGGTTTACTCAGCTTGTATTCTGCCTGAGACATGCCCTGAAACGAACGAAGTGAGAGAATGGGACTAGGACCACCTCTGCGATCCTTTCCTTGCCGTAAAACGAACTAAGTGAAAGAAATACCCTCCGGCATATGTTTCAGGGCCAATGCGTGCGGAGCTTGCGGGGGTGCGTCCCTCCAGTATAACGTAGATCTTCACAATCTCTATCCAGAAATCCCTCTCCACCTTCGGAGACTTCGACAAGTGATCTGCGTAGTCATCTTACATTTTATTCTATACTATACAGTAGTCCGAATAGGGCTGCGCGATGGCCTTTAGACCACCGCCCGCAGCTTGTTCTTTTCACTAACATAATTCACTACGTGATGCACGCTCCTACGGAGCAAGTAACTTAACTGTAAAGGGCTAGAGCCCGTTTGACCTCTCGGGCCAATGTCCCTATTGTCCCTGTTGGCCCTGTTGGCACCATTGGCCCTCGATCCACGTCACGTGACTCCTCGCCTTGTTTGTTTACCGCTCATTTTCCTTTTCCCTTTTCCCTTCTTCAACGATTCCTCTTTGTACATAACCTATCGTATAGGTTCTATGGGTTCAGCCCTTGACATTAACTTAATATTCTAAGTTATAAGGAAGTGGACCACAACGCCCGAATAAAAACCGCATTAGCAGAATTAAAAACTTAAGATTGTATAAGCTACCCTGCTATGCCGCCATAGAGATAAAACGGGCTTAATATAAAACGCGAACTCTATAGGTATCTGGTTAGAAACTCAATCCAGGAGGACCTTCTAACTTCTTCCCCTTAACTTAAGCCTACCAACCATTAGTAATATACTCCACGATCGACCCGTCTAGACCTCGCCAAATCGCGCGTTGGGTTTCAGCAACCCGACCCAAAACCCGCCAAGAAAAATAAATACGATAATATATACAACTATTATATAAATCTTCATATTAATTTCAGAATTTTATATGCATTACCGTAATATATTAGGCTTTGGATTCTTGGCGGGTTTCTGGGTAACCCAGAAAGCAATATGGCGAGGTCTTGTTACTAGGATCCACTTCGCTCCTTCCTCTCCTACAGCTTCGGGAATTGTTTCTAGCAGCCCCACACAAAAGAAGAGTTATTACACAGTACATAGCCCCCCCCGGCACTCAGACTGCCCTAACAACTTGTGTATAGTAGATATATTATAAATACAATTGGTTAAATAGTATACGACTATTTTTATATTGTCACGAGTCCCAGAGCCTGGCCCATAATCCAACCCCTTAAATCGTGACTCCGTGAGTACCCATACCAAGAATTCATATCTGCCAAATGTTCCAGATACTTACAGCAGTCTCAGGATTGGATTCTTTCTCTGCTAGGATGTCTTTCTGTCCCACATACATAGCACCTACTCCACAATTGTAGTGTAAGGTCGATGAGGTGGTTATCGTAGTCTGGGCATCTCTCAGGCGATAGCGGAAAAGCTGGAGAGCACGGCAAATACAGTCGGGAATTAAAGTTTGCATAATGCAATTGCCACGCAACCCAACCATGGTTCAGGCTTGTACATACAAAATATTATTAGTGCCTTTCAGTGATATCACACCCCCGGAAATTTCGCGTAATCCCGCCTGATAGGCCTGTGATTGTTTCCACTTTAACCTGTGAAAAGGCTGGGGTACTCCGTTACCCCGTGTTATGGTGTCTCTCCATAGAGACGCTGAGGTGGTAAATGTGGTGCCGGCGACGGGAATCGAACCCATAACCTCCAAAAAGCGAGGGAAACCAATCCTGGTCTTCAAAGGCTCCCTGGGTGCGCTTACCACTACGCTACCGCTACCGGCACGCTGTACACTGGTAATGGTAGTAGTAGTATTCGTACGACGACCCCTCGCCTAAGGCGATATGCAGGATACCCCTATCGCTACTCTATACGTGCATCTATTTACAGCAAACTATTACTTCCCGACGAACTTAGAGCCTCGTCAAGGCCTGTGTTGGCCGCTGCCTGGTGTTCAGTTCTGCGGCCCTCGTGGCGCGCGACTTCGAAATCTCTGAGATGCTTCTGCAAAGTCCAGTACGCATTTAAAATGCTCTGCCTGCGGGCATCTTTTAACCTACCCTCTTACCTTGCCCTGCTCCTCCCAGCATATCTGAAATATTATTAAATGCTCTTCCAATCTCCCCCGTAGCTCTTGTCGTAGCCCCTCAGCCGCGGCAATCAATCAGTACATGGACCACAGTTTCGGTGCACCACATTCACACTGTTTGTTTCTCGGAAGCCGTGTCGCATACCATGCGTCGCAAGCCATGAGTGGCCTGTTCGGAGTTGGTAGCAGTAGGCTCGATTCCGGGGGAGCGAGCCGTAGAGCCGGCGCGTATGGTTTGAGGGTAGGGCTGCGTCAATGCGGCGGAGGTGCCCCCCTTTCTTTGAGGCCTCCATTCTCGTTCCCACTCCTCAGTGATTCTGTCTCGGATATGCGCTTTTTCGCGTGACAAGAGGCCTTGAAAGGGATGCCTTTTATCTGGACCAACTGCTTCCTTCGCCAGGCGGTCCCTGCATCATTTCCGGGATTGTCACAGTGTCCCGGAACCCACTGGAGCCGTAGGGGGATTCCACGTGCTTTCAGCTCTCCAGAGACTGATGAATAGCCTGGATAATTCGCAGACCAGACTTGTTCCATGTGTTTGCTATCACCTGTAATGCAGACATGCTATCACTAAGGATTGTTGCCGGTTCCCGATTGGAGCTTAGGGTGTGTTGGTTCTTTTGAGCCAGTTGAAAAACCAAGCCGATTGCATAATATATATCTCGGCGTCATATACCTACCAGTATTCCATTGAGCCGATGCAAATCTGTCGCGATCCTATGATCTGGAGACTCTGGTCTAGGGCTACTGCCGCCGCTCCTAGTTGGTTCTGTTGCCCTGAAGCGTCCGAGAAAACAGTAATACTATTCGTCATTTGCCTAGCTAAGGCCTTGGCCTTGGCTTTCTCTCGGTCGTGCTCGATATCGATTTCGGCAAAGGCCGGGGTTCGCCATGGTGCCAGCGGTCTCGGGTCAATAGTCTCCAGGGCTTGTAGTCGGTCTAGGTCCATCGTCCGCATGGTTTCTGCTAGGGGAACCGGGGTCGGGATTCCTATGTCCGCTTCGTATCCTAGCCCGTGCTATCACACCATGGATTGGATGGTTTTCCGGCAGCGTACTAAGGCGGGCAACCACGATCTGTGCGCGTTGCTTTAATCGTAAGTGGGTGGGAAGTGTATAGGATTCCACTTCTAGCGCTGCTGTTGAGGTTGTCCTGAAGGCTGAGATCACCCGGATAAGAGCGGTTCTTTGGACTGTGCTCAGGAGCCGCAGGTGCGTTTTGTCCCTGAGTGGTTTGTGCCAGACTGTAGATGCGTAATCTACTACTGGTGTCACGCATGCTTGGTAGAGTTGTCGCATTTGTTCTGGCCGGAGGTGTCTTAGTCCTCCCAATGCTATATTAACCTTGGTTGCTCGTTTAACTGCCTGTTGCACATGGTCTTTCCATCGCATCTCTTTGTCGAAGATGACTCCCAGGAGTTTCGCTGTGCGTCGGCGGGTTTAATAACCTTGCCATTCATAATAATCTGTCCCACGCCATGTTCTCTCTTGTTCCGGGTTAGGTGGATTAGCTCTGTCTTTTCTGCAGCAAAGGAGGAGCCCGTTCGTCGAGCCCATGCTTCAATCCGGGGGATATCTTCATCCTGGATCTTCTTTAGGTTCGCCTCTGCCGATGGGCCGGTTCGCCAGCGGAAATAGTCATCGATAAAGGCAGATGCTCCGCCATTATAATCAACCGGTTGATCTACCAAGTCTGAGTTGAAGAAACCGAAGAGAATGGGTGACAGCGAGATCCTTGTGCTAGACCTGCGTTCTCTAATGGTAGGATTGGTGTCTCAAAGTCATCGAATGTGATACTGGCTTTCCGGCTGTCCATAAAACTTTGAATCCATTGTCGAGCTTTGGATGGGATGCCTTTGGCTCGCAGCCGGGCGTCGAGGCTGGTCTTGTTTACTCCGTTAAATGCGCCTTTTAGTCAAATGCGACAAGCGTGACCACCTTTACGCAGCCATGCTCGATCGATAGCGTTGGCGAGCACTAGCAAGGCTTGTTCAGTGTTGCGTCCCGGTCTGCCTCCAAACTGTGTATCTGGAGTAGTCCATGCTTCTCTGCCCAGTAGGAAAGTCTTCGGGCCATAACAGCCTCTAGTATCTTCCCCAGGGTATTCAACAGTGAGATAGGCCGGTAGGCTCCAGGCCAAGAGACATAACTACACAGCCAAGGCTGCCCGTGGTCTAAGCCTTAACGAGTCCTTGCAACTGTCTAAAGCAGCTTCACCAGGCCTGCTTGTTCAGGCCACTGCCCCGGTTTTCGGTTCACTCAACTCTCGATGAGCTACCTCAAGATATTGAGGCTCCCGGCAAAACCTCTCACCCCGAGTGTCTCCAGGTTTGCTCCTTAAGCATGCATCATCGGCATCTCAGCTAGAACGACATCACATCCATCACCCAGCCGCAGGTTCTCAGTGCGAGTGAGATAGTGAAGAATGGTAGAACCTCCCACTAGACGACACCACTTTGGCTGTTAAACTTCAGGTCCTCAGTGCGAGTGAGGTAGCTGATTCCGTCTGTTTGCACACCGACACGCGCGTCCGTCCTCTCGGGCCACCTAGACAGTCTCGTCAAGCCCCTATGACTTGTCCGTCACTGCCATTATGTGCCACGCCCCACAGGGAAATAATCCCCACTTCGCGTTACAGCCGAGATCTCTCTCTGCCAGCCGACCGTGTCTTCAGAGGCAGCCTGGCAGTACCCCATCTACCCTGCGGAATACCCAGACCATCCTCCACTAACCAAACTTGTGTCCC